ATTTTTTTTATTAATTCAGAGATTTCTTCTATACATCTCTTGTAGCAAAGATTGAAATGAACACCTCTTATTTTGCCCATAAGACAGGATTTGGAAAGTTTCCTCACAAGAAATATCTAAGCAAAAAATCCACACAATCTCCTGCTATGAGGTGGTGTTTTATAGGTTCCATCAGATCTCTTTCAGACTTTTTGCCTCTTTGATAGACTTCTAGGCACTGATATGATTGAAGAAATTTTTATTAGTAACTTTCAAGTTCCTACTTGGCTTTTCCTCTGAAGTGTAAAAACTATGAAAGTCATCTAAAAGATGGGCTTCACAAAGGCTTGAACTCCCAGTTACTTTTCAAAAAAGTATTCACTTTAAATCACAGCTTTACCACAAAAAATAAATGGAGGGTGGGCCATACACCATAATATGCTGATCAGTATTCTCAAGACACACTTCTTTGGTATGACATGGAAGCAGGCAATAAATATTTAAAACAAACAAACAAATTAAAATAAACCAAAACACTAAATTCCACCTGCAGATGCCTCCACTTGCAAGAACGGGGAGAGCAGTACAACAAATAACAAGAAGTTGTACATTTAAGGAAATATAATCCAATTATTTTTGCTCTAACATTAATAAGAAAACTTTGTAATGTTAGGAAGAGTAGGAAGATGATTGTAATCTCACACCTACAGATGTAGTCAAAACCATTTTTATGAAATGGCAATTGCCAATTTTTCCATTCCTATCTTATGCCACCAAAGATTAAAAATTTTCATTTAATTCCCTACTTCACAGGACAGCCAGTCATATACATTTTTAAGAAAAGAATATTTAATTTAAACTGTGGTACACTGAAGCTATTACTACCAGCCATCAAAAATCATTAGGTCTGAAAAATCCTCTGTCCAACACTGATTTTAATCTTTGAGAAAGTTTTTGCTTCTTCTTTAAGCTGTTCTCCACAGCCAACCTTTCTCAATCAATTTAGATACATTTTTTTAAAGCTTTTTAAGTCAAACACAGATCAAAAATGCACCAACTGTTGCTACACTTTCAGTGAAAATATGATAATTAGGTATGAGTCTCTTTTGAAACATTTATTTACCTAGGGTAAAGTGACAGGTTTCAGACTTGGAGCACAGCAACTTCAAATGCAGATGCTATTCTGAAAAAAAGTTATATAGATTGTCCTTTCTTTGAAGATCACTTAAAAAATTAACAAATTTGAAAGACTAATAGACCTTAAAATTTCAGGTGTTAAGGGAGGTTGGGTTTTTTCCCTCCTTGTTTTAAACAGACACTCATAAGAGACTATGAGCAATTAATATCATTACTCAAAATACTGAGTTTCCCTCACATAGAAAGCTAAAAATAACAGGCAATTAAGCAGTTGGATATACTTGATATAATCCTGTCTCTTTTTCACTTCTGACAGCTATTATTAACAACAGCCAGAGAATTCTAACTTTAATTAGGCTTACTCCACTGCAAATAGATAGAAGCCTTTTTTAAAATTATCCACAAAAACAATTTTAGTTGAATTACATTAATTTTTTCCTGAAAGACAGTGAAGCTGAGGTACATCCTACTTTGTCAGCTAATACATCCTGATGATTTAAGTATCCAAGACTATTACTACTCTAATCTGTAATCAAACTGAAGAAGATATTTTATCATAGCCCATATTTTATTCAAGCTAGAATACGTGCCATTTCATAAGAACAAGAATTTTCATTTTACAGTTTGTGTGGTTAACTGAATAGGTTTTCAAGGAATTATTTTTTTTTCAGTGGAGGTAATGAAGATGTACTTCAATGGAGTTATTTTTTTCCATTGCATCAATATGATATGACTTTAAACACTTTGATCACTAAGAACTACAAATGTACTTAAAAAAAAAAGTAAAATTATAGAAAATGTGACAAAAAGTCTACATATGAAAAGCAAAGGAAGGTGACAAAGCCCAAGTCTACTGGATGGAACAATGCATCCAACATTTCAGATGAACTATTCTAATTAGCTCAGAAATCTAACCATGTATTAGACAGTGATATGAAAACTGAAACAGAGAGAACTGATTTTGTAAAATTGCATTTTCTATAGTAAATCAAGGTCATTCAAGACAGTACTAGGAAGCAAAATAATAGAAAAGCATGTTGCCATATCCCATATCTGTCTATGATCCCTAACCTGCTAAGCAAAAAGTATAATTCACAAATCCTTATCATGTGTTATTACACACCTAAAGCAATCTCAGCACTAAACAGACCTTTGCTTCTCCCTTCTTCCCTGACATGCTCCTATCCCCACATCAGCATTCATATTCTTCTCTAATTCTCAAGATGAGTGCAGAAAGTTAAATAATTCAGTATATTATGGGTGTAGTTTCCAGCCAGTTTAACCGTGCCCAAGGAAAGCCAATGCAGACCAAAGAGAAGACAGGAATGCACAGTTTGGGTTGGAAAAGAAAAAGCAAAGCAACCTGTTTTGACAGCAGAAAGCCCTGCTTCAGCTGTGCCATCTAAGTACACAGCAAAAAAACCCTTTTCTGACCAACTAAACCTAATCTGGAAATACTCAAATATGTGACTCCAGTGTAAAGTTTAAGGAATAGAGAAATGAAGCTACAACAAGCAGGGTACACTGACCTCCTGAAAGAACAAAAGGGATCTGGAAGATTCTACAGCACATAAGAATCCAGTCCACACTGTCCCAAGCCCTCACAGGGAATCAAATACATCAATGAGTAAAACACATGCAGCAATATAGCAATATACCCCTACCCAACTATACTATACAGTTACTCGTAGATATTTGCTCTGCTGCTCATTATTGACACCTTCTCTCATGGTTACTGTGTTCTAAAATATGCCAAAATAAAGTTGGTGCAATTAGCCAAAATTCCACTAACTGAAAAAGTAAATCACCTCATTTTATCAAAGCCTATAGAGAGCACTTCTGCCAACAGATCCACTCATACAGTTGATACTAAATGCCACCATAAACCTACAGTAGGTTGAGCAACCAGGGAAAAACAGTAGGGAATAAACTCTACCACTTGCAAGTCACACACAAACTGTGTATCTGAGTAAAGCTTAACTATGTTCATTAGGACTTGTATACCATTGTAACTATATTGAAACATATTCCTTAAATGTAATAGCTTTATAACTAAGCCAGAACAAAATGCCCACAACAAAATGAGTCCACTGCAGCTAAAAAAGTAATATTACAAGAAGTCATGCCAAACAATGAAGATTAATTTGTCTAGGTAAATAACTAAAATAAAGATTCAAGCACAAAAGGATCAAAAGATAAATAGGAATTTATAGTTCACTGGTTCCTATCAATCAGTTCTCTCCATTATACAAGTTCTGCCAACGTATTTGCCCTTCTTCATGCTCCCTTATTCCCTAACCCCTCACAAACTAAGTAGGAGATGTCCTCTTAATACTATCCCTGTTTTCCTTAGTTCTGTTTGGAATGCCTCCAACTACCTTGCTTTATGAACCAGCCCTAGACAGAACAGTGTATCATGGCAAGCACTGCTAGCTGACAAACAATTCAAAGAATTCAGTACTAGTTATTTTCACATGGATTCTCCTACTTGTTTAAAGTGAATAAAAGGATGTAAAATAGTAAGGCTTCTTTACCCAATTAGACCTGAAAAACAACATTATATATTAATAAAGACAATTGCTCAGAGATTGTGAATAATTCATTTGTTCTTAAGTGAGACATACATAAAAACAAATTAACAATTTAAAAGTATAATCTGTCCAAGTGCTTCAAAAGCATGCTTGTTAAAGCACTAAAATTCAGGTCTATATTTTTTTTGTCTTTGTTTCCAGGTAATTCACCTGAAGGAACTTTGGATTTTTTTCAAAAACTACAACTCAAAAATATTTAAATTAATGGAAAAAATTTCTAACTGCTTTCCCACTGCAGTCAAAATCAGTCCTGCTTCACAGCACAGAACTAACCAATTCCTCTGTGTCTGGGCTCAACAAAGGTTTCTGCTTACTTCTGGACCTTTCCCATGGTGCAAAGCAGGAGTCATCAATTTGTAAAACCAAACTCAAATATACTGCCTACCTTACTCATTACAGTTCTCTCTCTCTTCAGCTACCCTGCAGCAAGTACAAAATACTTCACTGACAACAGACTGGCCCAGCAATAGGGGGAAGAGTGGGGCAACATATTCCTAGAAATTGAAAAGGTGAACAGTGGATATCTCAAAGCCAGCTAAGATAATGCTGAACAACTTCTTTGCCATGTTGCAGCTATAAATATATATATACACATATATATGTATATCCAGGTGTACATATACTAAGTGTTCGATAATATATGAAAGCAAAGAGTGCAGCAAAGAAAACTGATGGAAAGTAAAAAGATTCAGGTCACTGAGTGGCTTGTGTGTATTGCCACTTTTTCAGAGAAATGTTTCTGATGTTTTCTGGACTTACATAGATGATGTAATTGGCTTTTCAAGTCTGGAATTTAACAGTTCTGTGTAAAATTTCTTCATTCTTTGCTCACCAAAATCACACAGATAACAATACACCATTTAATTATCAAAGAATGTTTCATGGAATATGATTCATGTTTATGATAACTTGAGTCAACTTTCCTGATGTCATTAGTATTACTATAAAATTATGGAAATATTAAGAAACAGCACTGAAACGTACTTTTGTATATGGAAACTACATTACTAGCAATTTGTATTAAGGAGAAAAAAATCAGTGTGATTAAATGGAACTTGTGCTATGGAATTTTCACTTGACAGAGAAGTGATTTTAATTATTTTGAATAGTTTTTCTTAAAATGCTACAAGGGTTTTAAAAAAACCTTTATTTTCATAATACTTTTACAACTTGCAGAAAAACATTAAAATATAAATTATGCTTCATGTCCGTGCTTTTATGCAAATTCATTTTGTGTTTCATAAATCATTTCAAAAAATGTGTAAATAAAAACATTTTAACACAGTATTGTGCAAAACCTTTTATTTATTTAAGCAAAGAAAAGCCTGAAAACAGTAGAAGTTTATTACAAAGTTTAATGCCAAAATTAAAAGAGAAGTTGAAGAGCATACTACAAGTGCAAATAAAATCTTTGCAACTCTCTCAAACTGAAGAAATCTCTTATATTTCTGAACCTCAGTCCTGGGAAGTCTTCCAGAATTTCTCTCCTGATAAATCGGAAGATGGAGAAATTTGAAGGCCCTGGGAGAAGGAGAAGCACCCAGTTAATCCAGTTATAACTCTTTAATCTAGTTTATAAAAACAATTTCTTGTCCTTCATTTTCAGTCAGCCTCTTCTAAATAACTACCAATATGTTACATCTTTTCTACTTTCTTTCCTCAAAACTTCAATGTACAAGTCCTATTCATAATTCTGCAAGGACTAGTGAACTGGTGGAACTGAATAATAAAGGTCTAAATATTTAGACAGCAGGATAAATTATCTCAAATTAATTTATATACAGCAGCAATCAAGGCTTCAGCTTGGTCTTGTAAAGGAAACAATGCATGCTGAAGAAAATTTTACCTTATAACCCTGTAAGTATGAAGAAAAGCAGTTCCCTAAAGTCAGTGGGTTAATATTCTCTGCTCTCTGGCTTGCTTTCTCATCATTCAGAAATTCAGTTTTATGTACATTCCAAACAGATCTATTTATTCCACAAAAATTACAACTCTCCTGAAAAAAAAAAAAACTCTGCTTAACTAACAAATTTTCATATTTTATAAACAAACACTGAGGAATTACCTCAGATACAGCCACAATAAAATGCTCCAAGACTGTACTCCAATTATACAATGAAAATAACCATTTTTGATACAGTATTCAAACTGTGGGGAAAAAGACCTCTAAATTAATAGCTTTAAATACAATTATTCACTGTTGAAAAGGGCAAACAGAAGACAAAAGTGAGACTGCATACCAGTTATAAGGGCAGGAAGGCTTCCCATAACATATGAGAGGGAATGGAAAAAGCAGTAAACAAGGGAGTTATAGACAGATGAAGACATTTTCAGGACCAAAGAACGTTTCTTCACTCAAAGGAAAAGTAGTCTGAGAATAAATCCTATACCATTTCTAGGATTTGGGCCTAGATTCATTATCCCATAAAGTCATAGCAGTATCAATTCAAAAAACACTAGGTAACAGAAGTTTCATTTAATGCTATCTACAAAAGGATTTAAGATGACAAGAAAAAATACTTACAAGGGTAAGATCTCTCTTCTTGAAGTTTTCAGTTCATGAGTTCTTGTAAGATCATCAACTTGTCTCAGGCTCCTCTATTTCAAGAAGATTGCAGACAATATCTCAATCGCCATTCCAGTCTTCAGCAGCCTCATTTTTCTTGTCATTCTTTACTTGGCATAAAATGACCAAGTGCTACAATAGTGTTCATTTTCTGCCTTGACTTCCTATTGACTGCTAATTTTCCCTTGAGCCAGTACTCCTAGGCATCTTAAAATTATTTCATACAGCTATTCCACTTAGCAACAATCTGACATACATCCTTATCATGGTGGTACTTCTCTGAAACTTTCATCTCTCTGGATGGTGAATAAATCCAGCTCCTCTTTGGGGTTTTAGATACACACACAAGCCCATGAACGATGATGTACTGGAATGTCAGATAAAGTGAAGTGTAGGTGAGCAAGAGACCACAAGTAATTGTACAGCACAACTTAACACTAGGAAACAATGTAGCTCTACAGGAACTCAGGGCAAGAGGAAGGTGTACAAAGAGCACATCTGTGGCAACTTGGAATAAATAGGACTTGCAGTCCAGTGCAAAATTTCCTTATCCACTTAAAGTCTACAAACAGTGAGCAGTCACATGGTATATATCTTATCTCATTAACAAAAACCCCTCTGGTGCATCTGCAGGGATGAGATTCATTTTGACACAAACTAATATGCTACAAACACAGAGGGCTTTCAGGAAAACTGCCCTGACAGTAATTAGCATTTGTTCTGACAGCACATGTTACAACACTACCATGTCATCCAGGAGGTTAGAAGTAAGCCCAGAATAGTTTTCCTGCACCTCCAGTGTTTGGATTTCTAAAGAGGCTGTTATAGTATGCAAAATAAGATTAAATGCCTCCAGCATTTTTCATGAGGAGGAAAATTTTTTTTTAAAATGTTGAGAATAACACACACAATCATCTGGTATAAGAAACCTAAGGTTTAAAATCATCCTCCTCCTAATTTAGACCAGCAAATCAAAACTGAAACTACTGTATTCCAGCAGGGGCCAGTATCTACCCCATCTGAAATTTTCTTTAATTATGGTTTTCCTTCTCCTGGCTTCATTTGACAATTAAGTTTCATCTTGCTGAAAATGTTACAGCATTCTGTTTTTACTGCAAACTGGAAACTAATGAAACACCACCAGACTACACTTTAATCATACCAGTGGAAAGTTTGAAAGAATGTCCTGAATATTTAGTACACCCAATTCCTATATTCAATAACTCAATATAGTCTGGATGTGTGAATCTATGTGCTAAAATTAGGTACCTCAATCTATACTAAACCATCAAAACATCAGCACTTGTATACACACCCAAAAACTGACTTTATGGCATTTGGATTCAAATGAAAAGTAACCTAGCATTTTCATCTGTGTCATTTTTATCTTCAGAAGTTCCTTAACAACACTTTTCCAAACAGTTTACTGATGTCTTTAGCAAAGCAAAAAGACTCCCATCACTAGAATAGCTACGTCACACACTTGTTATGCAAGATTAAGGATTAATTAAGGGCTCTCTCATTTGTCATAAACCTAAAATAAACATGGCTTTCCTCCCACCAAAATACTTGACAAAACTGCAAGTGTTTTCTCAATTACCAGGATGTAACGTCAGATGACCTAGTCAGCACAGATTTATTATTAATGACATTGTCAATCATAAGAATTTATTATTTACATTTAATAATTCTTTAGGACTTTTTTTAACTAGAGAAAGAACTTAAAAAAAAAAGTATTATTACTTTCAACTGTATAAATTAGGATCCATGTGACTTAGAACTGCAGCAAAAAAGGTTTCAGTTAAATTAAGAAAAATACAAAAATCCATAGTGAAAAGATTGCAATAAACAAAGCTATTTAATGTACAAACCAATATTCATGTAAAACCAAGAAATGAGATCTAGAGTAAAAATCTGAAGTAAATACAGAATATTACTGAACTAAATATAAATACACTAACAGTGTAAGCATTTTTGATAGGAAAATTCTGCAATTCTGTGTTTATTTCTATATAAATTACCAAAGTCCAATTCACAGTGTTAGTTTTGAATCCTGCAATTTTATTACAGGATTTTTGATGTACTTCATAAATGAATAAATGAAATGGGGACGTTGCATTCTAACTTGAGTGCATCACTCAGTGTAACTTGAACATATTAGAAAGTTTCAAATCAAAAAGCTATTTAAAGAAAAATCTTTGAAAGTTTTTGTATGTCTTTGGGGGAAATAACTGCTGTTAGCACTTAGCCATGACCACCACTATACTGAAAGAAAAACAAACCTTGATTTTGCTGTTTTTTCTTATTATCTATATACTAGTTTTTAAATGAGCTCTCAGAATACAGTTTTCTGAGCTTCGTACATTTCCCCCAATTATCTTTTAAGGTTAAAAGTTTTAACATTTTGTCTTTCTCCACCAAACACTCACAGGAACAGCTATGCTCTCCAATATGACAATCCTGACAAAGTGGCAAATACATTAACAATCATGAGTCTCCAAATGTAAGTTGGTGGTAAAGACAAACTTATTTACCGTATTAATTAAATGGCCTATTTAACATGGAATATCAATTCTCTAATCACATCTCATTTGAACTTCTTATTTCAATTAGCAACCCTAAAGTCTACTAGAGACCCAACTGTTCTAGGATCATTAAGAACATTCTCATGATCTGTCAAATGAGAGAGTAAAAGGCAGAAACTGCAAATACTCTCAGGAGTAGGCCTCTACCCTGCTTAGGAGATGATTAGGGAGAAAGCAGCAGTAGTTCTCATTAGTTGCTTAGCAATGAAACATCCTCCTATGAAACAAGAAATGAACAAAGCAACAGAGGTGTTGCCATGCAAATGAGTAAATGGATATTCTATCATCAACTCAAGGATAATCTGTCCTTCATTAAAACTAAACAATCTGGATTAATACACCTATGGATAGCTGGCACAGACAAGGTAGGAAGAATCCACTGTAGGTAGCCCCACTGAAGTAGCCAGACAATACATTGCTCAAGTTTACATACACAACACTTAAATTCTCACTGTATGTGAGGAACACAAGGAAAACAATTTCAATTCAAACCAGATTAACATTATCATTTTTACTGTTAAACCTTACCTTTTATATCCATAGTTATACCCAAGTTACTAATGACTTATTGTTAATAGTCATTCTCATAATGCTTATAACAACTTAAATACAAATCTGTAAATTTAAGATTTAACCCACGTCTAAGTTGTTTATTTTTTCAAAAGTATATTCCCATATAAAGCAAAAAACTCAACACAAATGGAGTTGTTGACGCCACCATTATTACCAATGTTGTAAGTCTCAGAAGAGCAGAGTTCTTAACCAGAGAAATTTGATTATTGTTGTCTTACTTTTCAGACCTTAATTCCAGGATGTCATTACTTCAGTCACAGATGCAGTTTAATACGTTCCCTTGATTTCAATTTCCCCACAACTGATTTTAAAATATCCATGTTTCATGTGTTACTTTTTTTGTTTTAGTGGGGTTTTTTTCCTGCAGGGCAGGCATTTTTTGTTTTGTTGCTGTTGTACGGTTCATATGTACAATATAAAGTTTTCAAAAAAAGCATGAATTAGAAAAGAAAAAAAAACAGTGAAGACTTCTTAAGCAGAAATCAAGATGGCTCCTGAACTTCACTGACTACTCAAAATCTGGTTGCTTCTCAGTATGTATTTAAAGCAATATAGATTTATAATTACAAACATTTATGATAAAATTCATGTATCAAATTATGTTTTGATTAGCTCATCCAAACTGTTAGATTAAAACAAAAATGATGTTTCAAAACCAATAAAAATTCATAATTCAGTATTAAGACAAATCTTACCTATGTATTCACAAACGAAGACTACAAAAAAAGGAGTAACAAGATCATTTATGCCCTGAACATATCCACTGGCTGGATGACGTATTGCCCAGATAAACAAAATTCTTTCAAAGATCTGAAAAAGAGTTAAAGAAACCATCAATTTAATTTAACAAGTCATAAGCACATTTTCAACAAGATACTTGTAAATTATCATAACATCATAAAATTATAGAATATCCTGAGTTGAAAGGGACCCATCAGGACCACCAAGTCCAACTCCTGGCCCTGTACAGGACACCCCAGGAATCACTCCAAGTGCTTGAGAGCGCTGTCCAAACACTTTTTGAACTTTGTCAGGCTGGTGCTGCGACCATTTCCCTAGGGAGACTGTTCCAGTGTTCAACCACTCTTGGAGTGAAAAGCCCATTCCTGATATCCAACCTAAACCTCCCCAACTCAGCTTTGTGCCATTTCTTTGAGTCTTGTCACTGGTCCTGAGAGTGAAGGGATTGGTACCTGCCCATCTGCCTCCCCTCATGAGGATGTTGAAAATATCCTTGCAGATAAACTTCATATCATGTAGTTAAGTAGTATAAAAACCATGCATATAAAAGCATAAATGAACACTGGTATTCATAACCAACTCCCAGTGCTATGTAAGCTTCTCAGTTCTTCAAAAGGAAGCAATTTCAGGGTATTAGCACATGTTAAAACCAGCCTAGTATATAATTCAGTTACAGTAGTTAATATAAAGTAGCTCTTATTCACTGGAGCTTTTCCAGTAATACCAAATTCCTCTTTTCTCAAGGGAAGGACATATGAAATTATCTTTCCATAATTTTTCATCTCTTTGAAAGAAGTATTCTACTAAATATCCTATTTATCCCTAAGTAACAGAAAGAAAGACTAGATAGTTTAGATTTTTTTAATAACATGCCCATAAAAAGAGATTTCACAAAAGTTAAGCTTGCTTAATACTGTAGTGTGGAGCTATACACTCCAGGCATCTGCATACCAGTTATTGAAAAACCTGAAACAGTCAGGAAATGTAGAAATAAGGCAACTGCCTGCCATATCACAGAACTTCACCCTCTCAACTCCATAAACTGAAGCTTAGGTATCTGTAACTGAAGTTTAGTACTGCAAAAGCTCATGAGGCCAAACTAGGTCTCAGTGTGAGAAGAGAGCACAGAAATCAGAGAACTTTTTTCTGATTCCATTTAGGTCTGTAAGAGGCTGTATCTTGTCTCAATTATTTGCTTCTGAAGATATTACGTGCCTTTGAAAGACTGCAAATAAGCAGCAGAGTGAAAGCTGCCACATGCTTTGTCCTAACTACAGCCATGCAATCAGGGATATATAATCTTCTGAAACAAAAGAATGTTTGCTCATCCATGAGAGCACAAACTATATTGCTCTTCAGATCTGGCCTCAATAATAAAAGGAGGAGACATTTTGGAAGGACCCAAAGGATTCTGTGGTTTGCTGCAACTCCAGAAGTCAACAAATGCTCAGGCTTCAACAAAGCCAGTGAAGAACCTGCCCTGAAAGGATGCACAGAATGGAGGAAGTTTATTTGTGAAGTCAGGATTATTCATATTCAATCTCACTTTAAGTTTTTGTTAGATTAATAAACTGACTGTTTTAATTCAATTTTAAATAAAGACTTATTATTTAGTTTAAAAGTCCTCTTGCAGTCATTTTTACGTAAGGAAAAGTCTTAGCATAAAGGACTCACATCCTGGTGCTAGAAATTCCCATCACAGGCTTCCACATAAGTTACCTGAAGCTGAAAAATATTTGCATCTTTTGCTTTGAAAACAAGTCTCAAATATCAACATCTATCCTTCTCCTATAGGCTTTCTTTTGACAGTCAACTGTCCTCCAGGTTTCATGTTTCCCTGGCTGAAAATTCACAGAACAGGGGAGACAGTCAACAACAGTAAGTACCAAAAGTTTTGGTGGGCACTGAAAAAAAAATCTTAAGATAGTTCACATCTGATCCATTACAACCCCAACTGAGATTCAGTTTTTGTGCAGTGTGATTTCAGAGATTAGGCAAAAAGGGAAGTATACATTAGCAAATCCTCCACAGAAGCCTCTTGTTTCCATTAGCCAAGATGCTTATTCCTTTAGCTACAAATTCTTGGTACTAGTTCTGTCACCTCATGCATTTTAACAAGAGCTGCATATTAAACCAAAAAAAAAAAAAAAAGAAAAAAAAAAAAAAAACCAACACAAACTCTGCCCTTTAAGCAAAAGCCAGTGGGGCTTCACTGTCTATCAATAATTGTATAAAGATTTTACACTCAGCCATTTACAACATGGTTTTACATTTTATGTAATCATATCCTGATGAAATTACAGCTGTTTATGTAATATTTTTAGTATTGCTGGAAAACTGCCAATCTAGCAAGGTTAGTTAGCTCACAGCTACTCTGCCTGCTTCTGTCCATTGCCACTTTTACTTTCAGCAACAGTAGTTTCTCAATATTATGAAAGTTATCATTCTGTGTTTCATTTCTGAAAAAGGACTTGTTTAACATACTGCAAATACGAACAACTTTCTCAAAGAACAAATATCAGAATGAGCTGACAGGAGAAACTTATTAAAGTAGCAATTGGAGAATGCAGAATAGAGTTATGCACTAGGCTAAATAAAAAACTCATGGTGTGATGGGGCTACAAAATATGCACAGTCAACAACCAACCAAATTCAGTAAGAACAATCAATCAAAATACTCACTGCAGAAACTATAAACATAGTGTTTTTTCATGAAGACATGTCTGAAGTCAAACAATTCACAAATTTGTACCACCAACCTTTCATTTCCTCAGAACCTGATAAGACACCGTTTGCACTGCAA